CCTTAGGTTGTTCAGTGCCCACTGAATGTCATTATTTAAAAAAGTAAATAGCTGTCTGGCATGGCCCGGGGGTTGAGGTCCAACTTATGAATTACGAGGTCACGTTTCCATTTGCAGTCAGGGGCACATGCCTGATTTGGGGCTCAATCCCCAGTGAGGGGCATGCAGGAGGCAGCTGTTCAATGTTTCTTCTCATCACTGATATGTCTCTGGGTCCATCTCCCTTTCTTTGTGAAATCAATAAATTATATTTTTAAAGTAGATGAATCAATCAGAACCTTGGTAACTTAGTCCAAAGTAAGATTTTGAGAAAATGCGATAGTTTTTTTCCAGGCCCTTGGGCTATCAAAGATATTATGAATTATACTGGTTCCCTAAAAATAGGGCCATTCGGGGGGGGGGGCAGCCCCCCAAGCTGTGTGGCCCTCGGGAGCCTGTGTGCCGGTGACTCCCCACTCTGGCCAGGTCTGTCCCTGGACAGAGAGACAAGGCCCCACGAAGCCCTGATCGGGGGTGAGCAAACCAGAGAGCCAGCAGGCGGGGGGACAGGCCTCATCAAAGCGGCCGGGGGGAGGGGGTTCGTTACGGAAAGTGGCCGCCTGGGGGATTGCTCTGTGCTGCGGCTAATTACTGGCTGCTTGTTGTTTCAATACGGCGCCCGCCTCCGAGTCAGGAGGCTCCCTCCCTACCTGGACGGGGCCTCGCCTCCCCATCCTGCAGCCACAGACTCCCAGCCCGCTTCCTGGGGTCCTAAATGGGGGTGTTTTCCGGCCGGCCACAGGCTGGGCCCCCAGCCTGGAGACCTGAGAGCGAGACCCCCTAGAAGGGGGACAGCTCTGCACTTGGCTCCTGGGGGGCCGGGGGCCTTGGCGGCTGCGCTGGGAGAGAGAGGGTGCAGCCTGTGACCCCTCTCTGCCCCCTTCCTTGTCCAGCGGGGCTGTGCTTAGGCCTGGCCAGGAGCGCCCCGCCTCCCCCCTCGCACGCCCCACTGCAGCGCCTGCAGCAGCTCCCTGCCCTGGTTTTTGTTCAACCTGGGCCGGGCGGGCGAGGCGGGGGCAGGAATGTGTGCGGGGCCTGCCGCCCGCCCTGCCGCCAGCGCGTCACGTCGCTGCCTCCCGCTGGCCTATGGGAGCCCGGGGGACACACTGTCGGCGGCCAGCAGCAGAGATTGGTCGGCGGGGAGCAGGCACCTGCATGGGGCGGGGTGAGGCCCTACATGTAAGGCGAGCCCGGGGCCACGCCGTCTCTTCCCGGCCGGCCCTGCCCTGCGCTGCAGAGGGACGGCCGGCACCTCCATTGTTCCCGGCCCCTCACCACCCCCGGCCGGGAGCACCCACCGGCCCACCTGCCCGCCTGCGGGGGGACTCCCGCCTCTCCCCCCTGCGGCCGCAGCCCAGGAGGCAGGGAGCTGGTCTTCCCGGCCGCTGCCCTCCTGGTCCCCCTGCAACCAGGCTGGTGGGGCAGCTTGGGCCGAAGCCAAGCCTGTGTCCTGGGCGACAGGTATTTGGGGTTACGGGAGCCAAAGCCTCTCCAGTGTCCACTCCGAGGCCTGCTGGGTCCGGGCTGAGGACGGAGCTGGACACGCAGCCTCGCCGCCCGGCTGGGGGCAGGGAGTGGCCGCCTCCTCCTCCTCCCGGTGCAGAGCCTGTCGGGGCAGGTCGGCTGGAGGCGGAGGAGCCCGGGGAGGCCGCGCTGGAGGGAGAGCCTCCAGGTGGGCACCGTCCCCTGCTCGGCCAACCCGGCCGGGACGCAGCCGCTGTGGCGAGGTGCCCATTCGGCTCACAGTCAGGACCGAGGGAGGGTGGCCCCTCTTCTCAGAGGGGAAGGTGAGCCCCCCGGGTGGGGCCCGCGGGTGTCGGGTGCGGAGCCATCTTGGGCCCAGCCGTTTGGGGTCCCTGGGCCGAGTCTGCGGGGCCCGGCGAGCGTGGGCCTGGGTGGTGGGTGTCCTCCCCACCCAGAGGGCCGCCTGGGTCGAGCACCCTGAGGGTCCAGCCTTCCGCCTGACACAGCACTTTCTGGAAAGCTCTTTCCCCTACCAGCCCCTGCTGAGCCGGCCCCAGGGGCCCCGTGTTCCCCGGGAGCGGGTCAGGGAGGCCGCGGCGCCCGGCCCGGGTGCTGGGCTTGCAGTTAGCTCGTGGGACAGGCTTGGCTCTGCCCGCGGCCACGCTGGGACAGTTGGAGCTCGGGGCAGAGCCGGTCTGGCCCGGATCGTGGCCCTTTCTCCCCCGCCTGAGGCAGAGGCGCCCACAAAGCCGGAACCGACTGGGAGAAGGAGTGGGCTGGCCCTCGGCCGACACGGTTCCTCAGGGTCGGGACCAAAGTCTGGTCTACAGATTCTTAACCGAAATGCAAATGGCCCGGCAGCGCCACGGGCATCGTCCGGGTCGGGTCTGCGTCTCAGAGGCAGGTATGAAGAGCCGGAGGGTCCTGTCCATGGGCCACGGCTGGTGTTCTTGGAGGAATCGTGCGGAGTTCATTGTTCTTGCACAGAACTTGTAGGGATACGTATGTGTTTTAGTTAACCCACTGGGAGCATTTCAGCCCTTTTTAGGCTGAGCCTCTGGAAAAATAGGTTGGCTTTGTTTGGCTTTTGTCTAGTAACCCAGGTGAAACGCTTGAAAGTGAAAGCGATCGGCCGGGTGCTGAACTCGCCGAATACGTTTTGCATTTATGAAAAGGCGCAGCACACGGAAGGTCATGCACGCAGCCTGCTGTCCATTTCAGACATGTTGGTAATTTGCAAATCCCTTATTTGCAAAATCAGTTTGTGGGAATGTTGTTGGGGGTGAATGCAAGAGATCCACGGGAGCCAGCCGCCCGAGGAGCCGGTCCGCTGGCCGGTGGGGGGCGAGGGGCGCCCCGGAAGGGCTGAGCAGCGGCGCCGGGAGGGGAAATGGCGGCTCCTCGCGGACGCACAGGCCCGGCAGGACGCCCCCGCCTCTCCCGCACGCACGGCGCGGGGTTGGGTTTCAGCGCTTTGTTCTCTGCGGCCTCACCATTGATTAAGGCCGTCCGGCAGGTTAGCAGCAGAGACTGAGCTTTTCACGCGGATCGGGTTCCGCCTGCCCGGGGCCCCGCAGGCCACAGGCCGGTGCCCGAGGGGTGTCTGCTCGGCCAGGACTCCTTCCTCGAGTCTCCCACGCGGAGCCCGGTCGCCAGGGCGACGATTAACCAGACCCGCACACAGCGCACAGACGCTGGCTTCGCTCCCTGCCAGCCACGGGGCCGGGGCAGGCGTCTGGGGCACTCAGACTCGGGGACCCTCCTTTTCACTGCATTTCAGCCAGTCAGCCTCCCGCGTCCACAGTGCCCGCAGGCCGAGCTGGGCTGAGGCCCGGCCGGGCGTCGGGCGACGGTCTTGGCTGTGGGTTCACAGGAGCTGAGCTCCGGAAGAGAGAGGGGCTAGTCCTGGAAGTGGCAGGAAGCTTCCCTCTGTCTGTCTGTCCTGCACCCGCCGCCTCCTGAGTGAGGACACAGCGGCTGAGGCGCTGGTGGGAGGCAGCAGCGGGCGCCGTCCGTCTGGCTGGCAGGGCCGCTGTGGGCCTGTGGTTCTCCGGCCGCCGGTGCTCCGAGGAGCCGGCCTGGTGGCCAAGGGCTCTGGGGACACAAGGTGGAGGCCAGCCTCAGCGCGAGGGCTGGCTGCAAGGAGGCACCTGGGCACCGGCCGCGTCCCTCACTCAGCCCCACTGCCTCCCCGGGCCTGGCGGGCGGGCGGGCGTGAAGCTGAAACTTAACTCAGCTTGGAAAGCGAAGCCTAATTAGTTTCACTTGCTCAGGACGCAGGCCCGGCGTTCCTGGAGCTCACCAGTTTGCCGGGGTCTGCGGGACAGACCTGACCAGCCAGGTGTCCATCCAGGGGGGGCCAGCGAAGGGGCACAGGGCAGGTGCCTCCACCAGGCTCAGGGTCAGGTCCTCAGAAATCTCGGCCGTTCCCAAGGACGGAGTGGGAGAACCGGGTGGACCTGGCTGAGGCCGGGGTGGGGTGGACGCGGGCTTTGCTGTGGTCAGCCCGGCCGGCTGGGGGGAATCAGTTCAGGGCCCCCACCTCCCCCCGGCAGCCTCTGTGGGTGGAAGGTGCCGGAAAACTTGAGAAGCCGCTCTGGCCGGCTCTCCAGGCCCGGGTACCCCCTGTGCAGGGGGCAGAGAAGGGACAGGAGGGAGGACGGGCAGAGTGCCAGGGCCTCAGCCCAGGCCGGGCCCCAGGAGCGGGACTGGAGCAGGGGGACTGCAGATACGCCTACTTCCTTGACCCCCACTCTGAGCCCCGCGTCCTGGGGCGGCCACTACAGACGGCTCGCGCCCGGGGATGGTTGCTCTGCGTTCCGTGTTCAGGCATTCCTGTCCCATCTGCTCTGGGGTCCAAACCAAAGTGACCGCCAGGCCTAGGCTGAGCAGAGCTCCCCTCTACCCCCCCACCCCCTGCAGGGCCAGCACATCTCGCCCTTGGACTCCACAGCCAGCGGTGGCCAGAACCCCAGGGCCCGGAGCCGGGGGCAGGCAGACGCCAACCTGTAACCTCATTGGTGAGAACCAGCACTGCCTGCTCAGTGGGGGGCGGGGGGAGGCCCCCGGAGCCACGGCCACCCTCTATCCTCACCCGAAACCCTCCTCAGCCTGGACAAGAGCAGGAGGGGCCTGGGCTACTGGGGCAGCGTCTGGGGACAGAGGCCCATTGTCCCGCCCTGTCCGCCCCTCACCTGGGACTCAGAGGGGCTGAGCCTGCCGTCCGTGTCTTTCCCTGGGACGCCCACCGGGAGGGCACCGCTCTGCCCCTGATGCCGGGGCTGCCAGCCTCCCGTGGGCAGGACCCCCGGCCCCTCCTCAAGTGCCCACCTCATGCCCAGAGCGGGCGGCCTGCTGGGCGGGCGGGGAGGTCACCTGAGGCCCGGACCCCAGGGGCTCCCAGCTGCAGCCGCCCAGCCTCCCCCGGGCTGAGCCCCCACACACAGGGCCTGGGGACCCCCTCCTGAGCCCCATCTCTCCCAGCTCCTCGGGTCAGTGTCCTCAGAGAACGTGGGTCCCCTCCGGCTGCTGAAGGCCCCCCACCGAGTCCCCTCTCCCCGGGCGGCCCCAGACCCACCTGGGGGCGGCCACTGCCATCTTACTGGGCAGCATTGGATGGTGTCAGGTCTCTAATACTGCCTGGTAATGATGACGGCGGGGCCCTGCGCGCAGCGAGGGGCCGTCCCCGAGCCCCCAAACCTCTCCCCACACAGACCCCCCCACCCCCCTCCTGCCCGGTGCCCTCCAGGTGAAATTACTGGCAGCCCCCCCCGGCCCTGGCGGGTCCAAGAGCCCCTCCCAGCCCCACGAAGGGGAGCCTCCGCAGCTGCTCTGAGCCCCTCCCAGACAGGCCTCGGGGTAGGACGCTCAGGTGCCCAGGCCCTGCCCCTCCCGCCCCAGCAGGCGCCACGCCGCCCCCAGCAGGCGAGGGCGAAGCAGAACCAAGGCAAAGGCTCTGAGGGCGGAGGGCAGCGTGGTGGTCGGCCGGCCAGAGCCCAGGTGGGGGGCCACCCGGTCGGGCAGCTGCGCCTCCAGCCTCAGCCCCGGGCCCCAGTCCTCACTCTGGAGAAGACAGGAGCACGAAGGCCTCCCACCGGGTCCTCCCGCCCGGGGGCCGGGCACACTGGGCCTCTGTGGGCATCTTACCGGACAGTGCTGGATTTCTCGGCTCGACTCTAACACTGTCTGGTAACGATGTTCAAAGGTGACCCACGGCGCTGCCGGGAGCGGCCGAGGACGTGCTGTCCTGAGTCCCTGGCCCAGAGCCGGGCGGAGACCCAGGGCGGGTAGGGCACAGGGGACAACCTGTCCCAGCCAGGCCCGCGGCGACCTGACCCCCAGGAGAGACCACGATGGCCGGGACGCGGGGGCCGGAGAAGGGCGCCAGCCCCGCCCGCACGCCAGCCTCGTCTGGGGCCGTGCCCAGCGCTGTGGTTGCCGCTGGGGGCTCCGAGGACTCGCACGGAATCGGCGGCCGGCCAGTCGCAGCCACTGGGTCCAGAGCTGGGGGCAGGCAGCCCTCCCATCCACCACGCAGGTCCCATGTCCACCGTGGCTTCCACGCGCGTCCGCGGGAGCTGGCCCCCCTGAGCCCCGGTCTGCTGGGTCCGCAGTGGGCACTGGCCTCTCTCAGCTCTGACCCTGTCAGGGCCACGTGCTCCCGGGGCCACCTGGGACGCAGGGAGGGCAGGTGCGTCCAGGTGCCCCGCCCCGGCCCACAGGCTGAGGATGGTGCCCCCCCCCCGTATTCCCCGATGAGGACGGTCTCCCTGCCTCCCTGCCTCCCTGCCCCCCAGTCCTCCACCAGCCCCGCAGTGTCACAGGCAAGAAAGGGAACATGGTCTGAAACCCAGGTCAGGGCCCTAGGTTTTATCTTTTGTATCGGAAGCCAGGACTGGGGCTCGCAGACCTGCTGACAGGCACAGGGGCAGCCCTTCCGGCCCAGGAACCCCACCAGCCCTGGGCCCCAGCTGGTCTGTCAGGGGAGGAGGGTCTGCCCAGGCCTCCTGTTACTCATTAACGAGCCTGACTCAGGGTCAAGTGCAGGGCAACCAGATGCCCCAGCTGCTCGCTCGCTCTCTCTCTCTCTCTCTCTCTCTCTCTCACACACACACACACACACATACACACACACACACACACCTGGGGGCTGCAGGCTGGGGGGTTCTGTGGGAGGCCCTCCTCGAAGCAGCCCAGGGGCCAGGCGGGCGCTGGGAGGCTCCGGCCAGACCTCGGGCCGCGGGGCGCTGTGGGATCGGAGGTGCCGCTCTGCAGACTCAGGAGGCCCAGGTCTCGCCCCCCGCTGAACGCCACAGACAGGCAGCCTGTGATGGGCGTCTTACCAGACACGGTTAGACCTGGTCCTCTGTCTAATACTGTCTGGTAATGCCGTCCATCCACGGCCCGGTCGCCGGAGGAGGGCCCCTCGCCGACGCCGGTGGAAGTCGAGGTCCACTGTCCATCGGGCCCAGCCGCGGCTCGGACCAGGTGGGGCGCCTCCCGGGCCTGGGGCCCTCACGTCCTCCCAGGACACAGGCCACACTGGACGTCACCAGCCCATGACGCTGGCTGGGGGAGTCCCCTGGCCCCCGTGGGCTTTCTGTCACATAATAAACCGCTGGGCAGTTCGGCCTCTGTTCCTCCTGGGGCACAGCCTCCCCCACAGCCCAGAGGGCCCCCCCGCGAGGGTCTTTGTGTCCCCACACGCTGCGGGCCCTGCCACGAGGCCAGAGAGACGGGAGTGTGGTCAGCCCCACCCCTGCAGCCCAGCCTGGAACCCTCCCCAGGGAGTGGCCTCACCCTGACCCCCGACACCTGTACCAGGTGGGGGTGCCTCGGGAGGGCAAGACAGAAGCAGTCCCGCCTCCCAACTCCCACCCACGATGGAAGACGACCATGGCGGGCAGTGCCCCAGAAACCTGCTGCTCTGCCACTCTCAGGAGGCCAGGTGGCTGGAGGGCACTGGGGGTTGAGATCTCATCTTCCGCTCAGAGCAGGAAGCTGGGGGAAGCAGGGGTCGGGCAGGGGCAGCC